CCCCACATCCCATGCCCCGAGCCTGAGAGACTCCGAGGGTCCTTCGCCCGGCTCCTGTCCTTCTGGCCACGGCCGCACGCAGGGGCAGGACGGGGGGGCCAGAGGGCTCCATGGCTGCATGTCACGCAGCCTGCGAGCTCCACCGGGCCCAGGGAAACACCCCTCCCGGTGTGCCTCCCCGCATCTCCCAGCACCTCCCACTGCGCCTCCCAGCACCTCCCAGCACCTCCCACTGTGCCTCCCAGCACCTCCCACTGTGCCTCCAGCTGTGCCTCCCAACACCTCCCACTGTGCCCCCAGCACCTCCCACTGCGCCTCCCAGCACCTCCCACTGTGCCCCCAGCTGTGCCTCCCAGCACTTCCTGCTGCACCTCCCACTGTGCCCCCAGCTGTGCCTCCCAGCACCTCCCACTATGCCTCCAGCTGTGCCTCCCCGCATCTCCCAGCACCTCCCGCTGTCCCTCCAGCTGTGCCTCCCCGCATCTCCCAGCACCTCCCGCTGTCCCTCCAGCTGTGCCTCCCCGCATCTCCCAGCACCTCCCGCTGTCCCTCCAGCTGTGCCTCCCCGCATCTCCCAGCACCTCCCGCTGTCCCTCCAGCTGTGCCTCCCCGCATCTCCCAGCACCTCCCGCTGTCCCTCCAGCTGTGCCTCCCCGCATCTCCCAGCACCTCCCGCTGTCCCTCCAGCTGTGCCTCCCCGCATCTCCCAGCACCTCCCGCTGTCCCTCCAGCTGTGCCTCCCCGCATCTCCCAGCACCTCCCGCTGTCCCTCCAGCTGTGCCTCCCCGCATCTCCCAGCACCTCCCGCTGTCCCTCCAGCTGTGCCTCCCCGCATCTCCCAGCACCTCCCGCTGTCCCTCCAGCTGTGCCTCCCCGCATCTCCCAGCACCTCCCGCTGTCCCTCCAGCTGTGCCTCCCCGCATCTCCCAGCACCTCCCGCTGTCCCTCCAGCTGTGCCTCCCCGCATCTCCCAGCACCTCCCGCTGTCCCTCCAGCTGTGCCTCCCCGCATCTCCCAGCACCTCCCGCTGTCCCTCCAGCTGTGCCTCCCCGCATCTCCCAGCACCTCCCGCTGTCCCTCCAGCTGTGCCTCCCCGCATCTCCCAGCACCTCCCGCTGTCCCTCCAGCTGTGCCTCCCCGCATCTCCCAGCACCTCCCGCTGTCCCTCCAGCTGTGCCTCCCCGCATCTCCCAGCACCTCCCGCTGTCCCTCCAGCTGTGCCTCCCCGCATCTCCCAGCACCTCCCGCTGTCCCTCCAGCTGTGCCTCCCCGCATCTCCCAGCACCTCCCGCTGTCCCTCCAGCTGTGCCTCCCCGCATCTCCCAGCACCTCCCGCTGTCCCTCCAGCTGTGCCTCCCCGCATCTCCCAGCACCTCCCGCTGTCCCTCCAGCTGTGCCTCCCCGCATCTCCCAGCACCTCCCGCTGTCCCTCCAGCTGTGCCTCCCCGCATCTCCCAGCACCTCCCGCTGTCCCTCCAGCTGTGCCTCCCCGCATCTCCCAGCACCTCCCGCTGTCCCTCCAGCTGTGCCTCCCCGCATCTCCCAGCACCTCCCGCTGTCCCTCCAGCTGTGCCTCCCCGCATCTCCCAGCACCTCCCGCTGTCCCTCCAGCTGTGCCTCCCCGCATCTCCC